CACAGCCATGCACAGCAGGTCACCTGACCATCCAATCCTTCCAGCAGGTTCCAGCACATGCCAAGGTATACCAGCCACTTCCATGTCATAAAGGCTTAGTCATGTCTCTTGACCAAGCAATGAGCTGGTGCCCTGACAATGTCTCACCTTAAAATTAACTATCCAAGGCATCATTCTGTTCAACATTCCCATTGAGATTGATGTCAGCTTAATCCCCTCTTCATATTGGATCTCGGCAGAAAGCCTTTTAAAGGCCAAAGGGTATGAGGACATGACTTTGTCTCCTCTGTATCTCAGTCCAAGCCATATGACCTCTATACTTCTTGGATTGCAGGCCATACTGACTTCAATTTATCTACCTGTTTCTGAACCGGAACTTCTGGCTTCTGGCCCTTGTGGCAAGGAGGACTTCCAACAAGCATATTGATTGAACTCTCCTCCCATAGATATTGCATATCCTTGTTCAATGGCCAGCCAGTGTATACACGTGCCGTCCTTCTCCAGTGCACATCCCAACCTCCCCACCATTGAGAAATGCAATACACTCTTCTGCCTTGGGTGACTTGTGTGAGTAGATTTTGGATGTGGTGTGTGCCAATCACATGGTTTATGTTGTGACAGGTGGCTTCTGGCCACAGCATGTGTGATGCCTGCCAATTTCATTTGCCATATGGGTGGGAAGCAGACCATGGGAAGCTCTGCATTGCTTTCCTCTATAGCAAGTGTCATCACTGCCAATCTACCAAGAAGAGACCTGCATGTGTTTATTCCACAGACTCCAGGACTAAAGGTGTGTGGTTCGATAGTGCCTATTTGTGCATTGACAACCTGCCTGAGCAGTGCCTCACTATCTGTTACATGGAGCAGAGACTTCCTCAATATTGTTATGGAGTTGTTAGTGAGGGCTACCAAGCCCCCCTGAACACAATAAGATGAACACACACAGATACATACATACATTATAGAGTACACATTTCCCCAGAGTGCCAAGCTGTCCTATATCAGGCAGGGTACACACCAGCCATGAGGCTGGTATTGAACTTACTTTTACCTCTGTTGAGGTGTCAACCTCCTCAAAAGACAGGGGTTCTGTGTACTTCCACCCACTTTGCCATTGCCCACTCCAAATTTCCAAACCCATGGCTACTAGAATGAGCATTGCAGGTAGTCCCTGACACATATGTGTGCACTCTACTGGCGCTGTACATTCCCACAGAGAAGAGGGTGATGACAACTCCCATGGAGGATCCTCCCCGCCCTTGGGCAGTGGTTCCAATTTCGGTACCCAGAGTACCTCCCAGAAGGGTGCCACCTCAGATACTCTGGTCAATCCCAATGGTGGCCCACAAAAGGATGATTTGGAGAAGTCAGATTTGCCCACAGGTTCATATCCAACCAAGGACTACAATATGCAGGGCCTTGATGAGGTAGTTGATGTCAAGGCCGAAGCCTGGGAGCCCTTGTTGTTCCTGGTCAACAAAGGTGTCCCCATTGTCAACTTATGGTTCAGCAGTTTGGACCTTGTGATCACGTTCACTGTGGACCAAAGAGCCATCAGCTTTAAATATGATCCCCAATCAATGGCTTGGCATCAGCAACAGGTTTGGCTGCTTCTGCCTTCATTCTTTCACCACCCAAACATGGATGATACAGCCATCATCAGCACTGTATGTCTATATAGCATTGATGGGCTGCATGGTATTGAATTGTTCAAAGCATCCGGATGCATTCCTGACAGTCCAATGGCTCAAGTGTGCTGCTGTATTTCAAGACTGTCTTTGCCCTCTGGCACAAGACAAGACAAAAACCTGCAGTATAATTCCTCTGCAGATGTTATCACTAGCAATGGGGAATGGTGATTGTATTGGGTGCTTGACAGCAAGGACCAACTACACATTGAGAGGGTCAGCAATGGGCAGAAGTTCTGCTTGACTACTGATGGATCTGTATGTGCTTTGTCTCTCTCTCTCCAGTTTGCTGCACTCATGACGCAGTATGCCCAGACTCCATATTGCAAGGTATTGGCTTGGTTCATTGACACCACCCTCATGGTCATCAACTATGACTTTGGTTGCATTGATTTCTACCATGGTCTACCTGAAATGTGTGAGGGCCCTATGGATGACAACTTATCCCCGACATGTCACAGCCATTTGAAAGCACCTATATTTGCAGCCAAACTGGTTTTTGGAGATGAAGGACCCCTCCTCACAGTGAAATTGAACATGTGCTTTTCAGTCTATGTGATCAGAGGGTTGGCAACCAGTCCAGTCCAGGGTGTGCAAGCCAGAATATCTTTGCAACATGTTTGGACTGTGTACACCCATGTGTCACCACCAGTGCCTGAGGTCTCCCACATCACAGATTTTGACCTTACTGATGGCAGGTTGTGTTTGTTGTACATCAATCACTCACACTTTCACTCCACATCTGACTATACAACTGTGCGCATGGCTTGCTGAAAATCCATTTGCAGCATTGATAACAACTCTACAATCACCCCATATGATGCCACTGGTGTCATAGTCACATTGGATGAGCACAATCTGATCCGTCATCTGGATTTTATCAAATTCCATGGCAGAGCTATCTACATGGGTCGAAAGCATTCCTGCCTATGGATCAAGGTCCCCTTTCACCTCCATGTCAAGGACATCCCAGAACCCATCCCTGTTCGTCTGCAGGCTTCCTCCAACCTGTATGGCAACCTCACACATTGAGATGTTTTGGCAAACAATATACTGGGACCTCCCAATTGTTGGGATTGTCAATTGTTGACACTGACTTTGCCCACAGGTGAACAAATGGCAAAGTAGGCATCCTGTTATTGTCCAGGATGACCAGGTATTCTATGTCCATGATGTACCTGCACTGCCATCCTACATTACCAATTGTGGGTTGAACCAGTATCTTGACATGAAGACCTCAGTGCTGCTGGGAGATGACTGGTATCTCAAATACGGTGCCTCACTCACACAAGTGACTCAGTTGGTACTGGTATGGCCCAGCAAAGATGCCTTTGTGTCTATCATCCTTGCCAAGCTTCCCGGTGGAGATCAGTTCTTTAGATTGGAGAGGACTTATGATGGAGGCTCTATATGGGATAATCTGGCCCTAGTGGCATGGAATGAGCCACAGTGGCAGAACTGTGTGGACACATCACATTTTTCTCCAACAGACAATTCCCTGTGGGCATTAGACTTTGACCAGTTGTCCACCAAGGACTGTGCAGAAAGTGAATGCCAGTTGATTGTTCAAGGTATAAAAGGTCTTGACAAGGATGAGGAATTAGGCCCTCAAGCTCGGCTTGCATGGATATGGTTGAGTTATGGTGCCATTGCACAAGCCATCCCTTTACGTTAGGATATGTATCATTCTCACTTAGGACCTTGCATTATGTACATCTGCTCCAAAAATGATCACTACATGCTACATCTGCAAGTTTATACCGATAATATGTTTCTACATCAATTGCCAAGGTCTCTTGTTGGGTTATGGGGCATCTTCTCCACTCTCTACATCTTCTTCCATAATGGGGCATGGTCTGGACATCAAAGACCTCTCCCTCAACATAGCTGTTGGGGGTGGAACAGCTGGAACAGATCTCTGCTGCAGCTGGGCACTAACCCATGATGGAGTGGCAGTCCATCCTTGTTGGGAGACAGGATCCCAGCCCATGTCCCTTCCCCCAATGCGAGTGGTTTCTTGCCAACCTTGCCAATCTCTGGTGCTAGGTGTGGCACCCATCTGGTATTGCCCATCACATCTGGCTGGGTGGTTGCAATTTTTCTTGGAGGCACCTCACTCTTCCACCTGGGGACGCCTTCCTGTCAAGTGGGTCTGGGATGCAGAATGTGCTGATATAAATACATCACCTTTGGGCTCCTCAAATCTCGAGCCCAATGGCCATGGCACATGTTGGGCCAACATTTCTTGCTGGTACCACTCATTGTGTTGGGCTTCAGTCTGTGGAATGAAGGCCCATAGCTTGTAGGAGGAGGTGCTCTGCACCCATTGCCATGTCTCAAACTGCATGTCAGTACCTGAATTTTCAAATGCAGTGTGGATAAATGAGAGCATCAGTTGACAGCAATAGCAAAGAGCCATAGTGCAAGCATGGAAATTTTGGAAAGCCTGCCCAAATTTTGCCTTATATGCACATTCAGACATCATGGATGTGTCTCTGAAATCTCTCAGGAAGGTCTCATAGCCAAAATTATCCACAATACAAATGATGATCTTCTTCTGGTGCATGGAGCAGGCTCTATGCACCAGGTTTGACATCCATAGTAGACTGTCAATCAAAGGTCAGCACACCATTAATAGCTGTCATGGTGGATATCCTTACTGTGTGAACAACAACAATTCTGCACATTAACATAGAGACACCCGGCCCTCTGCAGGAATGCCCATGCATTTGCTGACACTTTGAGCAAGGCACACCATGGCTTGAAGAGAATTGTATCATGCACGGCCCATAACATTGCAAAAGCATTGCTGACACAAATGCCAGTGCACCAATTTTGCTTGTGAGAGCAGTGCCAATTTTGCCTGCGCAATATCAATTAATTCGGGCACCGGGGGGGCTGTGTTGAAAGGGGATGGTGGGAAGGAATGTGAGTCCTGTATCGAACAAGTGAACTGGGAACATCCTGGGAGGTGGGAGATCTTGGGGGCAGCTCGCTTGGTTAAAGTAGATGGGGGCATGGTGACACCAGCTCTGAAAAATCTGTCAACAGCATAGGGTACCATGGTTATACGAGGCACTCTGCATGTGGGGAACAATCTCCAACACCAGATGTACCCCACAGTGCAAATCATCTGTGCCTCTGTTTCATTGCTAGGGGGGTGGGCAGCACCTAGTAGCTGATCTGTCAAGGTACAGTGAGAGATGAAGCAATCTCAACCAATGGACCTCTACATACAGATCACCCCTAAGCAATCACACAAAGGATAATCCAAGGTATCCCACAGTTCAACTTTGACCATGTCATCCTCATTGTCAAATGTTGCTTCTCCTGATGTGATACATGATGTGGAGCAATACATGTGAAGGGAAAAGATCCTGCACAAAGAGTCAGCACTGACTCCAAGCATCAGATGGGCACACCCTACCTTTGTGCTCCCAAGGAGACACCATGAGCATGAAGGGAGTCCATCTCATGTAGGAACAAAAGCCAAGCCTCAAACAGAGCCAGGTGACTGGGCTCAATAGATCGGGCAATTGACTGCAAATGCACCCTAATGGACTGATTCAAGATCATTAATCTGTATCATAGCAGTGATCCGTGAACACCAACATGTTCTTCACATGTCTGATACATGTGCATGGTATTTGTATACATATTGGCCATCTTGCAAACCGGTATCAAGAGATAGTGTGCAGATATGTTGGTGTAAAAGAGGAGCAACACTTAAAGGGGGTGACAGGTGCTGTGTCATCAGACAAACCTGTTCCATGCAAGAGCACCTAGAGTGGGCCTTATCATGGTGGGACCAACATGTCTGTCGCATTACAAAGAGCTTGCCCACACACCATCTGGGCCCAACTTACCATATACACTTGTGCCAGTGTTTACAAGAACTCAAATCAACTTCATTTGCTTCTTCATTCTCTCTTGGTCCTCATTCTCTTGTCAAGTCTCTTGTGACAGGTGGTCTGCCACACACCACTGGCCTTGTCCCGAATGCATCTCTTCTTCATGCCAGTCCCATACAGAGTCTCGCTCAGCGTCCTGTGCACAAGTGAGACCTTGCATTACAGTGCACATCCACAGTAGGAGCATTGACCCCTTGCCCTCAGAAGCTCACACTCCCAGTGGCAGAGTCTGAGAAGGCAGAGGAGCCACAGGAGGGTGATTTGACAGAAGAGGGGTGGACTGCAGTGGACAGGATGCAGCTCTGGCGACATGATGCTATGACACATCACCTGCATGAGAGATCTGTTTATTGGGGGGATAAGATGCTCAGCTGGAGATACTGCCTATTGTAGCTGACATCCATTTGGTATTCAAATAGGTGATCCAAATCATGCATTGGGCTTGCAGAAGCACACTTCTTGAAACATGAATACTTGCGTGCCGAGACACTCCTGCTAAAAGATTGCACAATGCCAGCTCAGACCACTGCATCACTGAAGGGGAAGGACTGGGAGGACTGGAATCCCTTTCTGACATCACCTGGGGGGGGGGNGGGGGGGGTACACAC